GTCCCATCTTCAAGCGAAATTTTTTTTGAATAACTTATTTCTGAAATTTATGTGTTTTATAAGCATATTCATTATCGAAATCAAAATTTCTCTGGTAACAGCTAGAGCAATTGTTTAAAGAAAAAGGGGCATAAGGTGTTAATAATTTGTATCAATATCTCAGTTACATTCACAGATGTCAAGTCAGGGTAAGGTTGGGGGTGTCTAAATTTAAAGCAGAAGATGATTTCGCCTAGTCTGGTTTAAGTGTCTATGGAGATTTATTTATTTTTTTATTTATTTTTTCTGAAAGGGTTTTGTGTATATAAAAACTGTTGTAAATAGCTAACATTCGTTTTTTGATGACTTCATGCTCTACTTTTGTATCGAGCACTATTTTTTAAAAATAATAACAAAAATACTAAAGAACTTTGGACTATTTACCTAACGAGTTCTTTCCTATTTTCTATATATTTTCACACACACACACACACACACACATATATATATATATATATATATATATATATATATATATATAATTATACAGTATGCTGCTAAAGTAGATATACAAGAATTACGGAGGAACAAAAACTTGGAGAATTATCAAGGCAAATTAACTAAAACTGAGATATCCAAATGCAAGGTACATGGAATTATGACAATCTAACCCTGTGGACTAAATAAAGGGATCAGTTTGAAATTCAAGCAAAATCACCTGAAGAAGGCTGGAGTGTACAATGGCCAAAACATTAGGATTGTGAAAGATGAGGACAACAGTTCGAACAGTGTAAATAGTTTTAAAATATTGTCAGCCATATTCAGTGAAACTTGCATAAAAGAATGATTGTTGCCCAAATATACAACTTCTATAGGCAACCTGACACTTTGAATATTTAAAGAAAATAAATAAGAATTCTAATGATAATGTGTCCAGTGAGAATACAATTTTCAAGCATATCTCCTGTCGTCTTTGAGAAAGAAAATCTGATTTTAGCGTCTTAAGTAGAGTCCACCATTTTTGTAATTAAGGATACAGTTTTCATTTTGTCTTTTTCTAAAATTTTACAAGGGAAAACAATCTTGTTTATAACATCATATTTAACTTTGTCTTTTTACGAAGCAGCAAAGTGATTTAAAAGCTTTCCAGTAATTGAATTTCTCCAATCCTTCATAAAGACATTTTTTGGCTTTAAATAATTTCACTATCTTTAGTTTGTAGAAGATCTGAGTAAAATTAAACACCCAAATCATTTTCAATCATTTTGAAAATAAAAAAAGCCAAAAAAATTATGAGCACGAAAACACTGAATTACTTTAGTTTAGATAAAGGATTTTATCAATGGATACCAATGAAAATTGGCTTTGTGGACAGGGGGTGGAGTGGATGAAAATTTGGATTAATGTAAAGAGGACAGAATATAGATAAAGACTGAAAGGGAAGACAGACAAAAAGACAAGCAATGTGAAGGTGATATATGTGTATATGTAAGAATTAAATTGAAAGTTTAAAAAAAAGTAAAACAGCAAAAATTGACAGTGAAAGAGAGCAAAAATGACAGAGAGAGAGGAGTGAAGGACAAAGAGCGAGAGGGAGTTAGAGAGAGGCAGAGCAAGACAGAGAGAGAGACAGAGCAAGAGGGAGCATGAGTGAGAGATAGCAAAAGAGTAAGTGAGAGCGAGTGACAGGGAGGGAAAAATAAGACAGAAGGAGTGAGAGAGAGAGACAGTAAAAAAAAATAATTAATAGAGGAAATAGGAGGGAATGACAGAGAGAGACTGTTGTAGCATACCTACAAACAATAATGGGTATGTCCCCATTCATATAAATGCAGTAGTAAATACTGTATGTTGGTCTGCAGTTGGAGATTCATCTCCAGCTGTGCTGGTCAAACTCTCTGTCTCCAGGCAGAGAGGATCCCCAGATGAGGCTACAGAATTTTTGACCAAGCCTACATTAAATTCAACCTTGTGTCACATCTGACCGCATGGGAACGGTTGGTAGATATATTGCTGTTGGAGATTTGTCTCCAGCTGTGCTGGTCAAACTCTCTGGGCAAAGAGACAAAGCTATCCTCTCTGCTTCCAGGCAGAGAGTATACCCAGACAAGGCTATATCAAAGGGCAGTCTCTTGTTTTGGGGAAACAACTGCCCGACCCTGTTTTATATGGGGTCTATGGGGAATTTTTGGCCAAGCCTGTGAGCTTGGCTACCCCACATTAAATTTAGCCTTGTGCCACATCTGACCACATTGGTAGATAGCCTGCAGTTGAAGATTCATTGTGAAATTCATTTCTCACTTCTAACAGTTGACTACTTCTTCTACATGCCGCTGGCAAATCTTATGTTTTGTGTCCTAAGTATTATCGTTCATTACCAACCTTCATGCGATTATTCTATTCAGTAACCTTCCCTGGGTTACAGCAGAGAATGAAAAATAAGAGAGAGAGAGAGAGAGCAATAGAGAAGGAAAAATAGAGAGACAGCTGAAAGAAAATGGGGAGAGACTGAAAAGCAATCAGAGCATCAATCAAACAACATCAGTAAATCACTTCTCCAAGATTTTCAATACAAGCAACGATTGCATTCCCTTCTTTTTTTTTTTAATTGCAAATAAAAAATAAATAAGAACATATAAAATTGCTTATTGAGAATTCAACATCAGAAAAAAATAATGATGATGATGCTGAAGAGGAGGAGGAGGAAGAGTATTGAATGAATGAAAATGATGATGAAACTGAGGCGGAGGAGGAAGAGTATTGAATGAATGAAAATGATGCTGAAGAGGAAGGGGAGGAGTATTGAATGAATGAATGATGATGATGCTGAAGAGAAAGGGGAGGAGTATTGAATGAATGAATGATGATGATGCTGAAGAGAAAGGAGGAGTATTGAATGAATGAATGATGATGATGCTGAAGAGGAAGGGAGGAGTATTGAATGAATGAATGATGATGATGCTGAAGAGAAAGGGGAGGAGTATTGAATGAATGAAATGATGCTGAAGAGGAAGGGAGGAGTATTGAATGAATGAATGATGATGATGCTGAAGAGGAAGGGGAGGAGTATTGAATGAATGAATGATGATGATGCTGAAGAGAAAGGGGAGGAGTATTGAATGAATGAATGATGATGATGCTGAAGAGGAAGGGGAGGAGTATTGAATGAATGAAAATGATGCTGAAGAGGAAGGGGAGGAGTATTGAATGAATGAATGATGATGATGCTGAAGAGAAAGGGGAGGAGTATTGAATGAATGAATGATGATGATGCTGAAGAGGAAGGGGAGGAGTATTGAATGAATGAATGATGATGATGCTGAAGAGAAAGGGGAGGAGTATTGAATGAATGAATGATGATGATGCTGAAGAGGAAGGAAGAGGAGTATTGAATGAATGAATGATGATGATGCTGAAGAGAAAGGGGAGGAGTATTGAATGAATGAATGATGATGATGCTGAAGAGGAAGGGGAGGAGTATTGAATGAATGAATGATGATGATGCTGAAGAGAAAGGGGAGGAGTATTGAATGAATGAAAATGATGCTGAAGAGGAAGGGGAGGAGTATTGAATGAATGAATGATGATGATGCTGAAGAGGAAGGGGAGGAGTATTGAATGAATGAATGATGATGATGCTGAAGAGGAAGGGGAGGAGTATTGAATGAATGAATGATGATGATGCTGAAGAGAAAGGGGAGGAGTATTGAATGAATGAATGATGATGATGCTGAAGAGAAAGGGGAGGAGTATTGAATGAATGAATGATGATGATGCTGAAGAGAAAGGGAGGGAGTATTGAATGAATGAATGATGATGATGCTGAAGAGGAAGGGAGGAGTATTGAATGAATGAATGATGATGATGCTGAAGAGGAAGGGGAGGAGTATTGAATGAATGAATGATGATGATGCTGAAGAGGAAGGGGAGGAGTATTGAATGAATGAATAATGATGATGCTGAGGAGGAGGGGTATTGAATGAATGAAAATGATGATGACGCTGAAGAGGAAGGGAGGGGTATTGAATGAATGAAAATGATGATGACGCTGAAGAGGAAGGGGAGGGGTATTGAATGAATGATGGATGCTAAGGAACTGGTAATTATTGGGTTGGAAACAAAGTTCCTTCACAACTTTATATATATTTTTATTAAAAGTTGTTTTAAACCAGTAATTTTTCAGAAGTGGGAGAATTTTGGTCATATATATATATATATATATATATATATATATATATATATATATATAATTACAGCTTGAGAGAAGTACCTAGGTAACTCTTTTGGAGATAAGACCGTAATAAAAGATGAACTTGTGTCAATATCGGTCTATATCTCTACGATGAGGTATTATCAGTTATGTGCCATGCGTCATACATGCTTAGGCAATCATGTATCTTTCAATACATGACAGACAAGGCAGGTTTTTTTCTGCAATAGGTCTACCACAGTGATTGAAATAAAGGGTTCAGTTTGACATTCCAACCACCTGAAGAAGGCCGGAACATACAACTGCTGAAATGTTGTGATAAATATGGCAACAAAGATGAGGATGATAGTCCGAACAATGTAAATAGTGTACATAATACCTCATCTCAGAAATATAGACAGATACAGTAAGTGAACTTGTGCCACACTTTAAATTAAGTAGGAAAATAGAGTAAATATTGCAATTATACTGGAGGGAGATTTAAAAAAAAACGAAAAGTGGAACACTAATTTGTAAATACCATTATATCACTCCTTCAGATAACATGGTTCTAAATATATATTTTTGATAGACTTGCGTAATTGTCTTATTGAAAGAAGATTCCTAAAAACAATAAAAAATAATGACTGGTTTCTTAAAGAAATTCAGAAACAATTGCACATTTATCCTGCCTTACCAAATATTTTTTTACAATGATGTTTATCCTGTACAAGGCCCAAGAGCCACTCGGGGAAAACCTCTTTTTAGACGTCAGTTCCACAAAGCAGCAATGCACAAAACACAAGAAGTAAAAATGTCAAGATGTCAGGCAATGCCTTCCTATCCTGACACTTGTACAGTGAGTGCCAGATAATTGAGAACAAATTATAATATGAAGAAAAACAAAGACATAAATTGTATATTGTTTTTTAGAGAAAATATTGTGCCCATGTTTGAATAAAAAACACAGAAGAGGTTATTAAATAAAACTGTCCTTAGCCACAAGAAATATTTTTTGATGGACTTGAAAGTGATTGCAGTCAATGCAAGTTGAGAACAAAACCACTGTTCAAAGGCAGTTTTATGTTAAAATAGAAGTTTAAGTTGTTTTTTAGTTACCACCAGAATTTGCTACGTCACAAGATACTTAATAATTGAAGTATTTTTTTTTTTTAACTATCCATTTAATAAAACCTACTCGTAATATCTCAAGTTACATAAACAGCTTAAGTGATTAACTTATCATTACCAGACAAATCATTAAAAACAGAGAGGTATTAGAGATAGTTGTACAATAAACTTTGAGGGTGACATTCTAAATTCTCTTGCTAGTTGAGTGGATAAAACCAAACCCATAATATTTGTACTGTTAAGCTCAAATTTCAACATGGAATGCTAAATAGTATTTTGAGAATGCTTGTGTTACAATAGCTGATAAAAGTAGACAGGTCAATAAGACTGTCAGCTATACAGAGCATGGGTATGGTTTATTATATGACACAATGGAGCAAACATAAGTGTATATATAAGTCAGTATCTGTTGGTTTGTAATGTATAAAACTTGTCACACTACCAGTATATACACTTTTCTAGTACTGCATATTTCATTTTTATTATACTACAATGTCCTCTCAGGATGTAGGTGATCATGACTCTTCATAGGTATCTCTTCTTTATCATGTACGAGTTGTCATGCCTTCTTGAGAGAGTGGAGACTTTTTTTTTAGCATGGCTCTCGACACTTTCCTTTTCTTTATTATCTGTGAATTGCCATTGATTCTAGGGAAATACGCTAGAGTGGTTTCTTGTTGCTTTCTTCAGTTTTGAATTCAGAATAGTCTTCCTCTCTTCAGGTGTATGCAGTCATGACTCTCCACACTTTCCTTTTCTTTATTATCTGTGAATTGCCATTGATTCTAGGGAAATACAGTAAAGGGGTTTCTCATCGCTTTTTCCAGCTTTGAATTCAGAACAGTCTTCCTCCTCTGGGAGGCACAGTGCAGTAATGGATAGCAGTTCGGATTGAGGAATCAGAGAGCCAAGTTTGAATTCCAATCGAATCCATTACATTCACTTACGTGTTAATACCCTTGGGAAAGGTATGAATCCTCTTCTCCCCCCAGCTATGGGTAAATAGCAGGACAGTCTGGGTTCTATAGCCTTGGATGACAACTGGTCTACTGTAGAAAGAAATGGCAACCTACTGTGGGATAAAATCTGCCTCATTAGTCATGTATCGAAAGATACATGATCACCTAAGTGTGTATCACGCATAGCACATAACTGACTGACTGACTTCTTCTCTTCAGGAGGTAGGCGATCATGGCTCTCCACATTTTCTTTTTCTTTATCTGTGAATTGCCATGGATTCTAGGGAAAGACAGTAGAGTGGTTTCATGTTGCTTTCTCCACAGTTTTAAATTCAGAACAGTCTTTCTCTTTTCAAGGGGTAAGTGATTATGGCTCTCCACAGTTTCCTTTTCTTTATTATCTGCTAAGCCTTCTTAAGAAACATAATCTTTTCTGATCATGATTCTCCACAGATTCCTTTTCTTTATCATATGTGAACTGCCATGCCTTCTTGAGAAAGACAGTGGAAAGCAATAGTTTAAATTTCTAGGGTACATAATGAGAAAAGAGGACTTGGAAAATTTGACACTCACAGAACATATTGAAGGCAGGAGGGATATACAAAAGCGGTATATAACCTACCTAATAAGCTTATGTAAATGGCTGGCAGAATGGGGATTAGGAGAGATAACAAAAACATAAATTTTACTAAGAGCTACACAGAAAAGGAAGTTATGGAAAGTCATGATCACCCACCTCTTAAAGAGACAAAACATAGAAGAAACTAGTTTAATTCTCATTTTAGATACCATCTGTATAACCACATCCATGATTGTCTGCAGGTTTCTTTTTAATATTTTGTGTTTATGTGTACATGTAAAGAAAATTGTGTGTGTGTGTGTGTATATATATATATATATATATATGTATAACTAATCTTGCCTATCAAATAAAAGCTCTTATATCCATAATTACCAGAAAATTATGCAATTTCCATCAATGACATCTTTGAACCACTTATGTAATTGGTGGTAGTGTTTTTTTAGAAATTGGCTTCCAGCAAGAATTTTGCAATTAGAATATTCTTGAAAGTACAAAAGAACAGCAGCTTTGAAGAAAAAATTCGGTATTGTCGTTTGTTTTGGTCTTTCTTTTTATTTACCTGAAGAAATTACTGTCAGATTTTATTATGCAAGTTAATGTTTTCATTATGAAATGATATTAACCAAGATTTTAAGGATTTACTTATACCTATAGAAGCAATACATTTTGTCAGTCTCAGCTTATCATAACTATTCTTATTAAAAATATTGATAATTTATTTTGGGAGTGTTATGTTTATCTGTTTTGCTTATGTCCTCACACTTTTCCTCACACTGTTTCTCTCTCTTTCTCTTTGTCTCAATCTCTGTCTCACTTTCACTCACTCTTTGTTTCTGTCTTTTTTGGCAGTCTTTCTGATTAGCTTTTTTACTGTGTCTTGCTCCCCCCTCCTTCTTTCTCTTTATCTCTTTCCCTTTTTCTGTATCTCTCTGTCTTTCCTCTCTTCCTTCACCCCCTCTCTCACCTCCCTTTCTCTTTCCGCACCTTCCCCTCCTCCTTTCCTCTCTTCCGCACCCCTCTCACTCCCTTCCTCTCTTCCACTCCCTTCCTCTCTTCCACCCCTCCCTTCTTCTCTTCCACTCCCTTCCTCTCTTCCACTCCCTTCCTCTCTTCCACTCCCTTCCTCTCTTCCACACCCCTCTCACTCCCTTCCTCTCTTCCACACCCCTCTCACTCCCTTTCTTCTGTAACTCAGCTTTTGTGCATAGATATGCTTTGTGTGGACATAATTGACCAGAGGCAGTGATATGTGTGTTTTATGTTGTAGTTTGTTGATGTTATATTTTGGAATACAGTTTGATTTCTTTAAGAAATTCTAGGATATTCTATGGGTTTATGCCATGAAAGAGTTCTTTTATGATGCTTGTTTGGGTGATTTTGTTTAGCAGTATATCAACCTCAATAGGTTATTTAATGGCAAAATCTAAATATTTTCATGGCTTCAACTAAATATATTTTAAACTTAATTGTATTTCTTCAACAACAAAGAAAAGGTATTGGTCATCTTGCCATAAAATGTATTGTTGGTAATTCTAAAATATTGCATTGCTGGTCATTTTACTATAAATATGTATTTTTATTTTTTCATAGTGTTTTATTTTTATTTAAGGTTTTACTATTTCCCCACCGAGGTGCTACCATCCTGTGTCAGGGTGGACCGGGTAACAAGTGAAATTAAGAGGCATTTCCATATTCCTCAAAACCTCCAATCTCCTGATCAGAGGCCTTGCTGCTGGATGTAGTTTATCGTCATACCCAGGACTGTATATGAAAAGAAAAAAAAAAAAAAGAAAGCATCAGTTTAAACTAATGCCAGGTGGATATGGGTTGTAAGAAAATACTTTACCATTAAAAACAAATTAAACTCTCTAAGCATAACAAATAGGATTGTTATAAAAGAAAGATTTAAAACTGAATGAGACTCTCTAAGAATTACAAAGAGAAAATCCTGATATAATCAAAATGTTAACTTCCAAACTAGCATAGATGTACAGTAGCATGCAACACAACCTACTTTGTGATATTTTTACATACACAATACTCAGAACATTGTGATAATAACAGCAAAGATAAGGACATTAGTCTGAATATAAATAATGCAAATAATGGTAAGTTCTTATTGTAAAAATTCAAAACTCAAAATGGTATAGAATAAGACCAGGAATTTTATATTCTGTAGAATATTATGGACTGGAAATTCAAACTGAAGCAAGTGTTCAATGCTGGATTTCTAGAATACAGAAACTTTTCCAATCCTCTCCAGAATTGCTTCATACATAGCAAACACCATTAAGCCTGATATCTGGATCAGTAATCAATGATCCAAATCCAACAATCCGAAACATTTGGGAACTTACTTGATCACTGGGATTACTTTTATCCCTTTTTGTTTTGTACACTGGATCAACTTGACAAACACTGGTCATTATAATCTGATCTCTGTTTGTACTTGTGTATGCATATTGTTAAGTTCTATTCTATGGACAATATATATATATATATATATATATATATATATAAAGAAATATAGTCTTAAGGTGTGCTATATTTATGGAATAAAGTGCTCAATATCAGAGATAGAGCATGTGTAAATATAAAAGTGAACATAGAAGTCAACACTTAGAGGCGACAGTCTGTTTCATGCTATATGCAATCGTCAGGCCACATATGCTGTTATTTTTCTCGGCTATTTATATATATATATACGGGTTAGTGGTGCATTGTGGGTATTCTATTATGGTGGTTATTTTACCGGAAGTCGTTTGTTTATTTATTTGGGTCAAGTTTAATTAAAGTTATTTGTTCAATTTTGGGGTTGGTTGTTGTAGTTCATTCTAATTATTATTTTGGCGGGAAGAGTCTTTAATTTGGGATTGGTTTGTCTATTTATTTACTTGGATGAATTTAGGTCAATTTATTTTACTTGTATATTTTCTCTTTTCGGTTTTCGGTTTTAAGCAACATAGTATTTATTTATTTTTTGTTTTTTATTAGTGTATTTATTTGTTTTTATTTTATTTTTTCCGTTTTTCATTTTTTAGGTTACGTAGTAAAAAATTATTTTCATGCCTGCATTTTGAGATGAGCTCGGATCTTTTATTTAATAATTTATTTTGGCCGGGGAAAGTAATGATAGCTATTTTTTCCTCCAAGCAAAGTTTCCAAGTTTTTGATTGGTTGTTGTAGGCTAATGACTTTTTCCTTATCTTCCAAGATATTTTTGGTGTGATGTGCGTTTTGTTTTTAATTTCCCAGATATACTTAGAAAGCATTATACTGTTCGCATATTTACTATTTGTGAAAGATGTTTTGTGTGTATAATGTGCATATGTGGCCTGATGATTGCATATAGCATGAAACAGACTGTCGCCTCTAAGTGTTGACTTCTATGTTCATATATATATATATATATATATATTTTAACACCTGCATAGGTATTGAACCTACATCCTCCGGGTTATAAAAGCTAATGCTTTGTTTGATTAACCTGTCTTACCTGCTGGTTTACCCCATGTAGCTCAATTTAAGCTTGACACTTTCGGTTACCTAGTTAATTTAATGTCAAAGTAATTCAGGAGGGAACAGCCTTTCAGATAATTTAATGCATATGGTTGTTGATGTGTGTGTGTGTGTGTGTATTTGTTATGTGCCTATATATATATATATATATATATATATATATATATATATATATATATGTGTGTGTGTCTTCTAAAGAGTGTTCAGCTTATGTCAACAATCATTCAAGTTGAAACACTGGTTCCCCCGTATGACCACCAAAGTTAAGCAACATAAAGCTTGGTCAGTATCTAGATGGGTAACCACTTGGGAATACCAGGTGTGATAAGCTTGGATGTGTGGGTGGTGTGATGGATAATGGCCCAGAATTGTTGATCAGACATTAGAGTTCCAATTACAGTCAGGTTTGTTATATTCACTTATGTACAAATACCCTTAGGAAAGGTATGAATCCACCTCTTCTCCTCCAGCTATGGGTTAATTAGTAAGATTTATATCACTAAACCATAATTATATAAAAAAAATTCCTGACAATCTAAAAATATTTTCTGACTTTAAATAACCTGCAAAGGGTTAACAGTCTGTAGAAAATGAATGAATCAATCAATAAAAGTCGATTGAAGGAATGTTTGATGTTCTGGAAAATATGCAGCAAGAGTAAATAAGATGTTACAAGTTCTATCGAAGGATGCTGAGAATACCATGGACTGAAAATTTTGGCAATGATGATATTTTAGAGGAAATGAAAACAGAAAGCACACTTGTACTTAATAGCAGAAAGAGATAGTTGGAATTTCTAGGATGTATGAGGAAAGAAGGCTTAGAAAATTTGACACTCACAGGACACAATGAAGGGAAAATAAGCAGAGGAAAATAATACATAACCTACCTAATGAGTTTGGTTAGCAGAACAGTGATTAGGAGAGATAGCAAAAAGACAAAATTTACTAAGAGCTAGAAAGGATAGGAAATTGTGGAGAGCCTTGATCCGGCATATCCTGAAGGGACACAGTGCATTTAAGGCAGAGAACACCAATTAATTCCTTAAATTCTTTTTTTTTCTGACACCTTTTTAAATAGTTTCATTTCCTTTTTAACAATCGATGTTTCCATGATAATTTTTAGTGCTTTGTTACCTGTTTATAGAAACAGTTGGGTTGTCAGTGATACTAATTATTAGGTATTTACAAAAGTAATGAGCACACTTAACAATCCTGCTCGGTACACCTGATAATTTTTTTCTTCTATTCCCAATTTATTTGCTTTCTTCCATAATGTATGTGTGTGGAACAGATTAATCCTGCAAGATGAAGACTATATTTTACCATCAGCTTCTTTTTTTTCATCCTTTCTTCCTCTTTTCTCTCATTCTACCAATTCTCTCTGCCTGCACCCCTTTACCCATAATACTACCAAGCCCCTCATTCTCCTCTTCCTCCTCATTCTGCCAAACCTCTTTGCCTCCTCCTCTTTATCTATTATACTACCAAGCCCCCTCCTCCTCCTATTTGCCTTTATTCAGCCTATCCTCTCTCTCCTATTTGCCCATTCTGCCTATCCTCTGCCTCCTCCTCCCTTTTGCCTGCATTCTGCCTGTCCTCTCTGCCTTTATTCAGCCTATCCTCTCTGCCTCCTCCTCCTATTTGCCTGCATTCTGCCTATCCTCTCTGCCTCCTCCTCCTATTTGCCTGCATTCTGCCTGTCCTCTCTGCCTTTATTCAACCTATCCTCTCTGCCTCCTCCTCCTTTTGCCTGCATTCTGCCTATCCTCTGCCTCCTCCTCCCTATTTGCCCCATTCTGCCTGTCCTCTGCCTCCTCCTCCCTATGTGCCCCGCATTCTGTCTGTCTCTCTGCCTCCTCCTCCTCCTATTTGCCTGCATTCTGCCTATCCTCTCTGCCTCCTCCTCCTCCTATTTGCCTGCATTCTGCCTATCCTCTCTGCCTCCTCCTCCTCCTCCTATTTGCCCAAATTCTGCCTGTCCTCTCTGCCTCCTCCTCCTCCTCCTATTTGCCCACATTCTGCCTATCCTCTCTGCCTCCTCCTCCTATTTGCCCAAATTCTGCCTGTCCTCTCTGCCTCCTCCTCCTCCTATTTGCCCACATTCTGCCTATCCTCTCTGCCTCCTCCTCCTATTTGCCCAAATTCTGCCTGTCCTCTCTGCCTCCTTCTCCTCCTCCTCCTATTTGCCCACATTCTGCCTATCCTCTCTGCCTCCTCCTACTATTTACCCAAATTCTGCCTGTCCTCTCTGCCTCCTCCTCCTCCTCCTATTTGCCCGCATTCTGCCTATCCTCTCTGCTTCCTCATCCTCTTTACCCCCTCATACTACCAAATCCCTCCTCTTCCCTTGCTTCTACCAATCCTCTCTGCCTCCTCCTCCTCTTTGCCCATTATACTACAAAATCCCTCCTCCTCCTCTTTGCCCTCATTCTGTCAATCCTCTCTGCCTCTTCCTCTTTGTCCATTAAATTGCCAAAGCCCTCTTCTTCTTTTTGCCTTCATTCTGTCAACCCTCCTCCCTCCTCTTCTTTCAAGTCCCTCTACTACCTACTCTTAGCCATTATACTGCCATGCCCCACCTTCTCTTTGCTGTTCTTTTGCCTTAACTCTCTGTCTCCTTTTTGCCCTCCTTCTCCCAACTTCCTCCTCCTCTTTGCCCTCATTTTACCATGCCACTCCTCTTTTTTTCACCTCATTTTTCCAAACTCCCTTTTCCTTTTTTGCCTTGGTTCCTTCAATTCTGTCCTCTTCATTTTGGACCTGGTTCTGCTAATCCCACCATCTTTGTTTTTTGTCTTGCTTCCACCAAGTCCCCATTCCTCCTCTTCTTTGGTTCAGCCAAGCACACCCATCTCCTCGATTTTTCTCTTGTTCTGCCCCCATCCTTATTTTCAGCCTCTTATTGGGTGTTATGGTATGCACTAAAATCCTCAGTTGCGATTCTCAATACTCAGACATTCTAAAAGTCATTAATCTATCCTTAAACATTATTGGCAATTAATCTTCCAGTTTTGGAAGCCATTGTCAGCATTTTTTGTCTACCTTTTTTTTTGTTGTTTCCTTTCATTTTTGCTGAATTTATTTTTCTCCATTTTTTTTTTCTTTCTTTTCTCTTCTCTTTTCTGTATTTTTCTTTTTTTTTTCTTTTAACTTCGTTTGTCTTTCTCTTTTTTCCCTTGTTACTGCGTTGACCTCAGACTGGATGGGCTGATTGAGATTTGGCAATAGTGTATACAAAATGAAAAGAAATATGAGAATTTCTTTCCCCAAACAACTAAAAGGCTTCAAGGAAGATGAATCAATAAAGTTTCCTTCGATCAGAAAATTTTGTTATTTTTTTCCCCAATCAATAAACTCAAATATTTCTTGTTTGTTATTTTCCGAACCACTAAAATGATATGGGAAGAGGACTACGTCCCTTTATTTTGCCCATCTTAATATAAGATGGAGCAAAAGGAAAATTTTGTCTGTTAGAGATTTTGGCTCCTCCATGATTTTAAATTATTATAGATGTTATATATAAAATACTAGCTTAAAATCCACTCTATCAAACAGCATTTAAGCTAGCTCCTGTGGCAAGCACTTGATTGGACCTTCATTACAATAGGTAGGGAAGAGTAGATGCAATAGGCAACAATAAACTACAGAAGAACTCTAAATTGATCGCTGCATTTAAGTATTGCATTAATATTTAAGCTCACCTTTTAAAAGTTCAGCAATAATTCTTCTGTCATCACTTAGTTTAATGACAATTTGATGTCCGTAGGTCCTTACTTTCTGTACAAACAATTTTATTTCATGGGTGACTTTTACTGCATTTCACAGTTAATTTTGATTAGTCCCAAATTTGTTTCAAAGTTATATTGTTATTGTACAAAACAATCTGTCACAAAAAAATCACATAAAAAAATCACCAAAAACAATGACAGTAATGAACACTTGGGATTTCAAAATTTCAGGATTGTGGGTCTGGATCTGGCTTAGAATGTTTTTAATTTGCTCACAGAATCAGCCTGATTCCAAATTGGTATGATATGTTGGGTTATGGCCTCTAAGAGTAAAGTTGAAAAAGTGTGACGCAATGACATTCACATTTATTATATAGAAGATTAATATTTTCCAAACAGAAACTATAACGTGGAATTACAATGAGAGTAGTGATGATCAGTCAGTTGAGATGTCATATGTGATAGACTGGTTGCCAACCAAGGCTAAAGGACCCAGTCTATCCTGCTATTTAACCCATAGCTAGGGAGAAGAAGAGATATATTCATACATTTCCCAAGGTTATTTGTGCATCAGTGAATGTGACAAACCCAAATGGAATTCAAACACATCAGTTTGATTTCTCATTCTCAGCTGATATCCATTACACCACAACACACATCCGTGATGGCACACACCCTAAATCCATTATAAAAATTTTGAACTTGAAATTAATAACCTCTAAACACTTGAAATACTTCAGTGTATGGGACATTTATAATAAATTTACTATAGGAAATTGAAATTAGGTTGCACTTAAGGTACTTTTGTTCAAAATTATCAGCTGCTGTAAAACTAAAATATTGACTTTAGTCTTGTTCTTAAATAGCCTCGTCAAATCTAGACCCTCATATGGATGACATATCTGGACTATCATTTATACATCACCATTGTAGTCAAGTGGCTTACCTGCCAAGATGGCTGCCTTCTTGTGTTTCCTTGTAAAGCAAGCCAGCTGATTTTACCTCATTTTTTAGGAGAGTGCCTAATATACCAGTTAGGTTGGTCCATTTTGCTAGAATGGACCTGCCCAATACATTTGCCTGAGTGGTCTGTATTCACCCATATATTTCTCCATGAAATGACTCAAAGTTGGCTTTTGGCTACACCAGCCTACTTGTGTGTCAGACCACTGGCAAGCTAACCTTTATTCTACAACCATTCTCTCAGATCAGTGGTTCAAAATGCCTTCATATGAATTAGTCTTCTTTAAGATTTATAGGATTATCTGCCAGTCTTTGTAGGCAAGCAACACAAAATCACAAAGAGCTTTGTTGGTGAGTTAAAGAGTGAAGTAAGTGATGTCTAAGCCATGTGTAGCTACTTAAGGAGCACTGATTTTAGCATCCTATCTCAGTCAGACTGAATTAAAAAATAGAGCTAACCTTTCCACACCACTTTAAGCAAAAAGTTTGGAAACAAACTCCCATAAATAATAGAAAATACATAAATTTCAAGTGACAGTAATACTGTTTGGCCAATGAATGCCGAACGTTTTCTGTATGAGAATGGTTAACTTTACTATGACTTTTATAATTATCATTGAGATATATAAAAAGAAAAGAAAGTGACAGTTTAAACTAATACCAGGTGGATATGGGTTAAAGGAAAATATATTACCATTAAAAACAAATGAAACTCTCTAAGCATAACAAACAGGACTGTTATGAGAAAATGATTTTAAAATAACTTTTTTATAAATATAAAACTCTATTTTATAAATAGAGAACTTTACCAAATAACAAAAACAACATCACTTGAAGACTTCCCAAAGTAGTAACAACTAAAATGGATAGAATATATAACTTGAAAAGAAAATGACATAATCAAGATGCTCACTTTCCACACTACCTTAAACAAAAGGTTAGGAAGGAAACCTCCATCAATACTACAAAGAACAATAACTGCTTAAATGAGAAGCCAGTTTTCCTGAAAAAGTTTCAATCAACAATAACATTAACTCTTCAGTCGATGAATGCAGAATCTTTCTTGTAGGGAAATAGCTCATATTTATGCTATACAAAAGTGACTGAGATTTTGTTAGAATTGACTATCATTATTAAATCAGGTAAAATTCAATAGTTCAAACATTAATTGAGTAATTGATAAAGCCAGAAGCTGAATAAAATATGATTCAAGCCTCTTGTTATCACTGGTTTGCATAAAATTTTTAAGTAAGTTTCTCATATCTGGGGGTCTGCTTAGAATCTTAAAAAGTTGTATTTCTGTTTGGTGTCTTTGGTTAGTGACCAAATCTAGCAATAATCTGCCCCCTGTGGGATCAGGTTGAGATCATACACAAAGAACATCATTGGAAAAATCATAAACTTAAGGAATCAGCACATATGCTAGACCACAAAAATCTCCTGAGCCGAACAAGCATAGAAATGAATACAATATGGGAACCAGTAATAAGGAGTGCCACAGAAAAGCAATAATAACAACAAAAATTGCAATATGAGCTCTAGTAAAAGCATGTAATGATAACCGCAAAAATTGCAATATGAGCACTGGTAAAATGGTTGCTGAAGACATAATACCCAGAAGTTCATACACAGATGGCACAGTGGATAAAGGTGTTAGTTAGATCCCATGACAGGACCCAAAGAGTGTGACTTCAATACCTGGTTAAGGTGGTGGAGACTTGGAGAGGGGAATTAACAGGAGATAACTGACATCCATTAGACATGGCATGTGGAACTAGAACAGTCTACCCTAGTGAGCAAAATAAAGGGTTCAGTTCGACATTCCAACCACCTGAAGAATGCTGAAGCATACAACGGCCGAAACGTTGTAATAAATATGGCAACAAAGATGAGGATGATAGTCCAAATAATGTAAATAGTGTACAATAATCTGGTCTTCTGAAATTCCAAACTAGCAGTAATTTCACTTCACCCCCACCATGCTAGTGATATAGCAAAATCTTTGTTTTTTTACACCTTGACTATTTTGCCTTCTTACCAAATAAAGTTTTACTAAGTTGATAGTCATTACTTTCCCATGACATTGTGGCAAAAAAGGACCAAGGAATACTAACCTATTTGTGACTAAGTGGCCATGATGTCTTATTTGCCTGGTTGGAGCCACCATTTGCAATTTAGGTAAAGGACATATACGAGTGTAGTGCTTTTAAAACTATTGCTAATTTGCATCCATGGTCAAAAAATTGAGTAAAAGTAAGTTGCATAGACAAGTTGGGAGAGAATCTATGGATTTTGACCTGTGCTGAACCAGGCTCATTGCGACTATCAAGTACAGACCTGACTTATACTTTACTTCCATCTTTATGACCAAAATATGCATTAAATTTTTTTTTTTTTTTTCATGTGTGTGCATCATGTGGGCTGAGTGACACTGTCATACTTTTTGTCATGGTCAAGATAAAGCTATTCTATTCATCTAGTCGACAGTCGTCAAATCACACTTAAAATGCCTGTTCTCATTTGATTAGCAAAGTTAAACAGAATCAAGTACTTAGATGGGTCTCAGCTTGGAAAAACTTGGTACTGGAAGTGGCCATCTACAATCTGAAATATGCTTCTGCTTTAAATAACCAATAACTGGAGGGTTGATAAGTCATAAAAAAATCGAACAATCTCTCTCCATCCCTCTCTCTATCTTTTGGTACTTACATGGAGGAACACTTGGGAACATTGGGCAATGCTAGCAATCTCCAACAATCTGAAATATGTTTCAGCTTTAAATAAGCCACAAGGGGTTAATAAGCCATAAAAAGCAAAATAATCTCAATCTCTCTCTCTCTCTCTCTCTTGCTCTCTCTCAGTACTTAGATGGGGGACCACTTGGGAACATTGGGTATTGTAAGCAACCTTCTACAATTTGAAATGTGTTTCAGCTTTAAATAACCCACAAAAAGCAAATCAATCTCTCTCTCTCTATCTATCTATATATATATATATATATATATATATATATATATGCCTCTATCTTGGTACTTAGATAGGAGACCACTTAGGAACATTGGGTACTGTTAGCAATCTCGTACAATCTGAAATACACTCCAGATTTAAATAACCCACAACAGGTTGATCAGCAATAAAAAGCAAATCAATCTCTCTCTGTACTTGGATAGGAGACCACTTGGGAACAGTGGGTACTATTAAGCAAACCTTCTACAATGAAAAATATGTTCTAGC